GGGGGGGGGGGGAAGATGACTTGCGGGCGCTTGTCGTCTGCGGGATCATGCGCCGATGGACCGCCCCGAAAGAGCTCCTGTATCGGGATTGAGTCGGGGGTCCACCTCTTAATTTCATTGTGAAGTGATTATGATGCTTTCCACATGTTTCTCCATTTTTAATCCGTGATTACTTCCTGATTGCAATTCCTGAGGAAATTAGCGGCCTTTTAAGGTACTTGGGAATGCCCAGAGGTCGCTATTTAGGTAAATCCTCATGAACTTTTAGCTCAATTCAGTAGCGAAGCGGTAAACCGATTAACCGGGTTAAGTCGATTTTGACTTTTGGTTTTTCATGAATATCTCGGAATCTGAGAGAGATAGGAAAATTTTTGTCATAACCTTTTTTGTAGAGCCAATTGAGGGCCACAAAAAAGGTCATGATAAAAATTTTTCTATCTCTTTTAGGTTCGGAGATATATAATATATAATATTCTGAAGGAAACATAATACTATAAGCGATATATTTCTGCAAAACTTGGCACAATGGTTTGTTTGCAGGGGAGCTTGAGGGAAATACAAATATAAATATAAGATATAAGATTCTATCTGAAATGAGCCGAAAAAATGAAGAGCTACTGCGAAATATTCAAAAGCTAGGAGGAAGTATCCGAAATAAAATCTGCGCTCTGATTGGTCGAAATCCGATTGGGGAGAAATCATCTCCCATAATCACTCCAACATCTAATCAATTCCGCCTGACGAATAAAATTACTTCAAGCACTTTCCGCAAAAATTCCCAGAAACAAATTGAATGAGGAGTCAGCAATCTCGCTTATTCGAGAATTCCCGTCACCCATACACCGGTGTTTTCAATTCTCTCGAGTAAAAAAGCCCCAGCTCTTAAGCAATGAAGCCGAGTAGTTGCACTTATTATTCCGATGATTGAAACTCTCAACCAACAACTCTGGCAAATAACATTGCGGCCTGTATTTAGTGATTTATAAAGGACCGCGTGCGTCCACTATCTCCCCCCCTTCCCCTGCGAAAGCCTATAATTGGCGCGGTACAGGAAATTAATCGAGGCAGAAACGATGATCCGCTGAGAGGCACAAAAAGGACTGAAAAAATTCAACTACCAACATGATTTTTTTGTCTGTTTTTCATTTTACGTCATAGGTACCATTTAATAATTACAATTTAAATTATATATAATTATACGATTCTTACACGTGTACGGTGCTCTAGGTTTACGTATTTTGCAGTAAGTAGGTAAATTTTTTTTTCATTTCATTTCCCTTTAGCTAGACTATTTATGTATATTACATGGAATGAAGTAACATTTCATCAGAAAAAACGCTACGCGAACGTAATACTTTGAGCTTAATTTAAGGGAAGTTTTGTTCCATTTATTTTTTCAATTTTCTCTTCATACTGGCAAGGAGGAAAATATGCGGCTCATTGATTTCTACAATTTCCGTACGACTTTTGAGAAAGAAAAAAAATAAGAAAACAATTCACATTCAATAACAAAATAATATGAATCTCTCACAGAATCACGCAACATGAGAAATATATATTTGGCTCGCCACTGGGTGAAAGATACTTTATTACCGAACAGAACAGAACACACAAAGACGAATTATAATTTTCACAATTTCCACGGCATCTCATCGCGTAGGTACGGAGCGTGTATCACGACACGCGGCGTTTGAAAACAACAAAAAAAAAAGAAAAAACCATAACGAAACAAATAAAATACAATATTAACACTGGACCAAGTCAATCATCAACAGACTCACTCTCAATATAATCGTAATGACAATAATAATCCATAATTTCAATAATTATATAATATTTTAATAATAATAATCGTTAATCAGTTATTAAATACGACTTTCGTGACAGAAGAAATCGGTGAACACGTCCGATTTCAAACTAAAGGACAATTTCATTCGCTGATTCAGTTGACGAATTCTCCTCGCTCTTGACTGTCAATTTAATCGACACCGTCCCCACTCAGTTTATGATCAATAATTATGTACAAATATCGTCTTGAAACTTTTTCACTCTAACTCGTTAAAATCGTATACTCGTAAATCCCTGTATGCTTCCGAATTTGCTTCCTCGTACCGCACGATCCTCGTTTTACAATTTACATCAATCAATCAATCAACCAATCAATCAATCGTAACTAAACACAGAGTGACGCATTTCATTATTTACTTAATTATTATGTATCCATTTAAGTTCACCTCATATCACAAGATATTACATCGAATTATGCACGGATGCACGTGCACGTACACACACCTGCCTAACAACGCACTTGTAAATTAATCATCCAATGAATTTTTTACTATCTCAGGATGAGGCTCTTCCCTCAGCGGTGCGTAATAAGGAAGCACAGGCGCTTCCGGTCAACTTTATTCTTCATAAATACTCCCTTTGCTGACGTTTTCATTCTCGTTCTTAGTGATGCCGTCGAGACTAGACGAGAATTATTTTGGAAAAATCATCACGGTCTAAAAAAACATCGAAAGTTTCCGTTCGCAAGTTTTCTGTTTTTCAAATGTTTGTCTCGATATCTGTCTCGTCTCGTCTCGTGAACTTAAAAAACCGAAAACATCGAGATCCAGACAAGATAAATCCTCGCGGAATTGTGACGAAATGCACCGATCCAATGTTTTTCGGGATTGCGACGATTCCAAAACTTTCGATGTTTTTCCAGACCGGGATGATCTCTTCAAAATAATTCTCGACTGGTCTCGACGACATCACTACTCGTTCTCAACTTTTTTTAAAGTAGCATCATGGAAAACAACCACGTGTACAGTATTTACAATGAACATGGCGTCGACACAATCGATTTATGTAATTTTGATGCCTCCTGATTAATTCATTGTTTTTTTGGCCAAGAACACTTTGAGCATTAGCAGGCAATCTTACGTACTAGGAATCAAAGACGATTTTCGTGTTCTGGATTAGACGAACAGTTGGGTTCATAGAGATGCCACAAGATGAGATGATTCAGCAAAGAATGGCTTTCTTTCAAGGGAAAGGTGACTGAGGAAAATCCTGAGGATGAAAACTATGAAGAAATGTTCAGTTTCTACTTCATTTCATTTTCTGTCCCAAAATGTTCATCACTTACTTTCTCTTGTCCTTTGTTCGACATCCTCTTGTCTCCTCTCACCCTCTTGCGGCATCACTACGCCCTCCGCAATCGTCTTCACATTTTCGAGGATTTTTCGTGACGTACAGATTTTTGAGATAAAAATTTTTCAACAATTGAGAGGTATGAAATTTAGCCATCGAGTTGCTTGCCTACGATCGGAAGTTGAAGACGTAAGTACCTTTGATTTTCATTTGTATCCATAATCAGCAGCCTGATGTGATTGTATCATCAATCAATCAAGACAGCCCCTAATATCTAAGATCCTAACCACTAATGAGATTCATTAATCTCGCCCGCTGAGTCAGATCCCCGGCAAATGCATTTTGCGTTTTAATTTAAAATCTTTGTATATCTTAATTTCATTTAATGTCAAATGCATTGCGTCGGTTGGGGATCATCTCGGAGCGCAGTCCCAGTCTCAAGTATAATAATCAGGTGCACAGCGACAGTGATGAAACTGTATCAGAATTTCTTGAATAATTTATTCAGTTTGGCTTTCCCTTCATCTTCAGTGTTAGTCATTTGACTAGAGTAGGACTAGAAGAAGTATCACAGGCCCATCCAACATGAGGATATAAAAAGCAAAGCTGTTGATGATCTGACGGACAGAAATAGCCGCAGCAAATCATCAACTCTAGAGCAGCAGTTGAATCCCAAAGTTGGACGGATGGAGACGTGGTGATCACAGAGTGACAAATCGATCTAGTGCCTAGCAAGAAGTGAAGCACAATCATCTCAATCGTTGCAAGTAACCAACGAATGAGACGCGTGTACATTTGAAAGCCTTTAGAAATTCTGTTCGCCGTACATACCCGGAAACCGGACCGCATGTGCCCCGAGCTCGGCGGGCGAGAACTCGTCCTATGTGGCCAAATGGGCAAACTGGCCTGGGTGAGGTGCAAACTGGTAGGCATGACCATACGGCGACATGTGGTATGGTACAATGTTCATGCTTGCCATTTTGTGCTCCTTCTTCCACTTCATTCGACGATTTTGAAACCATATTTTTATTTGACGTTCGGTTAAACACAGGGCATGAGCTATTTCAATGCGCCTTCGTCTTGTGAGGTAACGATTGAAGTGAAATTCCTTCTCCAGTTCTAGGGTTTGATACCTTGTGTATGATGTCCTCTGACGTTTTGTCTCACCATTTGCATTCACAGTACCTGAAATTGAGGAGAATGCTGATTAGTTTTAGGAGCTGTACATGACTTATGATAATTTGCTTTTCTGCTTTGATTAACGATCAGATGATTGTTTAATCAGTATTCATGACAGATTTAGTAAATATATATTATAAAGAACAGAATTTCAAGATATCAGAGCAAAACAATCATCCGGGACCTTATATCAACGTGATGATCAATCCCGTCACAAGCGAACAATGAGAAAATCACATTCCAAATAGCGGCGGATTCAATTTCTGAGTTTTTTAAAGGTGGAATGATGAAACAATTATATGTACAAATGTTTTCCAAGTGCGAACAAAGTTGTACATGACTTAAAAATATTTGGATACCTCTAGGTTCGCCCAAATCGAGCTTTCCGCAGGTGAACCTTTCGCTAATTTCAGCTTAACTTGCTTTTCTGCTTTGATTAACGATCAAATGATTGTTTAATCAATATTCATGACAGATTTAGTAAATATCTATTACAAAGGACAGAATTTGAGGATATCAAAGCAAATCAATTATCAGGGACCTTATACCAACGTGATGATCAATCCTGCCACAAGCGAACAATGAGAAGATCACATTCCGAATAGCAGAGGATTCAATTTCGGAGGTTTTTAGAGGTATGAGGATGAAACAGTCGTATGTGTAAATGTTTTCCAAGTGCGAACAAAATTATATATGACTTAAAAATATTTAGACACCTCTAGATTCGCCCAAATCGTGATCGTACCAACATGATGATGAATCCTCTCACAAGCGAACAATGAGAAGATTCCTCGATTAGCAACCAGTTCAGTCTATTTGCAATCGCCCCATGACCCATTCAACTTTCGGTACACATGTACATCCAACGAGGCTCGTTAATAACATCAACGAGTGCGTAGCGCTCCTGGATTACAGCTACCGGATCCCCGAGCTGGTCACTTGGCAGCTGTTTTCCCTATTTGCTTTGACACGCCTCGACCATAAATTTATTTTGCAACGCTATTATTACGATAACCCCTCTCCTTGCACAATCGTACACCTACTCCTCCAGCGTTTATGAGCGAAACGACCCCCCTGAAACTAGATCCCCAGGAGTTTCCTCTTACTGTAATCTCCCGTGGATTTGCTCGATCAGGTAGTCTGTGTTGCATTCCGTTAGAGTTAATCTATTTAGACGCTTTCCAATTGCTACGTAAATCAAGTCGCCGGGTATACAATTTACTCTATCGCTCTGTGAACCTACTTGCGGGGATAAACACTTTTACCTTGAGGGTATCTTAAAGACTCCTGTCGTATGAGTATCATTACGCGATTATCGGCGATCTATCGGCGGAATTGACTACTGGGAATGTTGAAGGGATAATTAGCTGATTTTATGATATTGAAAAGTTATGGGGTTAATGAGACGTTCTAGAGCATCTGCTTTGTGGAAGTCGTGAGTGGAAAAATTTGGTTTTAGGTCAATCTCCGTTTTTGGTTTAGTTAAAGCGTTAAAGAACGATCTTTTTCGGAAGAGGAAGTACTTAATGCTCACTTCAGGTGTCACGCCCACCTCTCATTGGCCAAAAAGAGCGCGCATTCTCTCACTTCGAATCTGACGCTGACTTCACATCAAACGGTCCTTTTACGCGCCAAATTCAAACTCATTTAATCGAAGAATCGTTATAACGCAGCGCGCATCATCCGCAAGCGTATAAAAACAAAAGCAGGCTTGTTCGCTCTCCAGAGATGTTGTTTATGCATCACCGAGGATCCACTCGCCAATGCGGATATTAAAGTGGTGGCTCATTTGCGGCAATAATGAATACACTATTAATACGACTGCGGTTTGAGAGAGGGGGAAGTGGATATAAAGTGTAGACACACGGAACATTTATGAATGTGTTGAAAAAGGGGGAGAACATCGTAACAAACGTGTGGTTAGACGCTGAAGAGACCGCACACAGGAGCCCTCAGACTCTCAGTGGTTTGAGAAATGAGCTTAACGACTGCGTTATCGCTTTCCTCGCGATGTAACCCGTCACACATTTAACGCAATTTTTGAGAAATATTAGTTTTACGGAGGTGAAAATAATCGAGTAATTAACGTGGAGAGAGAAAAATTCATGGGGCGAGGACCCGGATTTTTACGTCGGCTTTTGGTCGCAGAATTCAACTGACGGGTTGAAAACCGACTTGATGCTGAACGCTTTCACCCTAGGTTAGTCGGGAACACGTCTGCGTTTAGTCGGTTTTTCGTTCTTTTTTGGAATAAATTGAAAATGAATGAATGAACAAATAAATGAATTGTTCACATGACTTTACATTACCGTTGGGATTGCTGACCGTTTCAACTCGGACTTGGTAGGATTTCCCTCATGAAAATGGATATATACGTTAAATATTTGTATAATTTAATAAATATATTAAATATATTTGACTTATATGAGCATATATGCCCCATACTTTGTACATATATTTCGAATACTACATTCTTTGCCGCTTTTATATGTCATATGGTTGGAACATATCAGTAGCGAAGTGGTAAAACGGTCTAAGTCAATTCATCTCTCAGTTAAGTTTTTGAAGAATATCTCCGAATCTAAAGGAGATAATGAAATTCTCGTCATAACCTTTTTCCTAGAGCAAACTGAGTGCTACAAAAACGATTCTCACAAAAATTTAGCTATCTCCCTTCGATTGCGAGGTATTCCCTAAAAACTGGCCAATAGTCAAAATCGACTTGAACCGTTTTACCACTTCGCTACTGATATGTGAAATATATTTGGGTATATAATTTTTCCGCGGTCTTCTTAGGTTGCAGAATAAACCGATGAACTTTTTCGGGAGAAAACCTGAGAGCTCCTAATATGTTATTAATGCATTGAAAGAACCGATCGCTTAGCTCCACTCAACAGATTTTTCCATATCAATTTTCGTTTTTTCTCTGAGGGACACATCTGACAAGGACTCGAGATATTTTTTCTCTCATTCTCCGGACGGGGGAGGGGGGAGAGGGGGGGGAGCGTCTCTCTCCGATGGACAAAGGTTATGCAGCGCTCCACGTGGTGTAGATGCCCCATGTATTATCCTCATATTGATGGTCTACTGTACCCCATGTATATGTGTGTATGCCACCAGGGCATCCCCGATCCTCATCGTGGTGATTAATTGATCCCAGTGTTCTCGTCGACATCGATACAGAATTCAGTGTGTATATTGTACATGTGATCCTGGGGAATGGTATCTAGTGCCCGAAGGCTGACGGGTTTGATTTTTTCCGCGACATTCCGGGCATTCTACGAATTGAAAAATACTTTCTTCCGGAGATGAGAGAGAAAATAAAAGAGTGTATCTCGTCCTGGCACGACGGGATGGAAAACCTATATAATCCTTTTCAATCTACCCGTCTTCGCGTTCTTTTTACTCCATTTGTCAAGAAAGGATCGCATGAATAGCTTCCGCAAGTGAGAATTCATTATTTACAACTGTCATATCTTCGGGTTCTGTTTAAATATTTTCATCTTTCCGGTTTAATCTGTTTGTACCAAACAATTAATACAAATTGTCTTGCTTCAATGCGAATTCATCAGTAGAACAGGGAAATCACTTGTGCACTTGTTTAAAAAAACAATAGATGACTGGACTTTTAATTTATATATACATACTGTAGGAAATAATTACTTCTGATTGCCGATAAATTATTGTTTTGTTCATTCTCAATCAATCAACATTATTATTCGACAAAAAATGAAAAATTTCGTTAGCTTACCATTACGTTAGCAGTACCAAACGTGTTTGGGGACTTTGTTCCTGGCGCACTCGTGTGGAACTTGGAAATATTCTGACTCGAGGGACTTGCAATAATTTTTGAAATTTTTGAAGATTTTGAATATAAAAAAATTAATAAAATAAATCGCAATACACATTGGAAACTATTCTATCTACAAACTTTGTAAAAACTTTGTAAAAAACGTGTAAATAGTGTCTACACGATTTTACACACTTGAACGTGTGAAATTTACACACTTGGATTTGCCGTGCAAAAGCCACCGGTAAAAATAGATCAAAAGCAATGTGAAAATCAAAACGATCTCAATCATCTGCCCGACAGTATCACGAGAGACCCTTCGGGGAGATTAATATCTGCCAACCTGGAGACATTTACCGTCAAGTGGATAAATAAAAATAACCGGATAAAAATATATATACGAGTCTCCCTTTGTGCGGTGGGAAAATCGATCGGACGTGTCACGCGTCTTCTTGGACGAGACTCGCGCAAACTTTCTTCAGAAGAAGTTTTTCGGGAGAAAATATTTCGAAAAAAAATTCTCGGGAATGAACAACTTTGCGGGATCTAATTTTCTGTCTCACCTATTAATTGCTATTACCGCGAGAATTGAGTGGGGAATTTCCGTGATTTGTCGACGATTTTTTCGGCACAATTTTTTGTCTCAGTTCTATGGTTTCGAAAGGAACAACACAACAACCGCCGATGGAAAATACGCGTGAACAACAGAGACAAAGTTGACGTTTTCAGCCGCTGTGTTCCCCTCTGGCGTTCTATTAAGAGCGAGGCCGCTAGCACGAACCCGCTAGACACGACGCGGACGTGACATCGAGATGGCTGACACGACGACACGGCACCGCGCTTAGTCTCACCATGTCCCTCTCGACTCCCCCCTCGCCCCGGCTCACATGCCCCCCGAAAACTATTCTCCTCGTCAACATCAAGACGTTCGAAGTAAAAAAGCAAGAAAAAAAATGGGAATTTTTTTTTCACCACTCATTTTTCTACAGTCTCCAACATTTTTTATCGCTCCTCACTGTGACCTCCTCGTGAAGATGAAACTGTTTTCCATATATACATATATACATCTTGGAAACGAAGATCTTAATAATCCTTGACGGCGATAAATCTCGCGTGTTTAATACCACGGCGTGTGATTCCAGTGATTTCTTGGTGCTTGATTTTCATGCAAGTGTGTTTGAAGATTTTGTCGCTTTGAAGACTCACACGATTACCA